CCTCAGCACCAGCGCCACCTGCTACAGCAGCACAGAGCCAAGATCAGCTCCAACCAACAGCAAACAGCATGGAAAGATTTGGCTGAAGCCAGATGTTTCTGGCCGAAAAAAAAAGGCATTTCTAGATTTTATTACTCTCTTTAACCATGCCTCTTTCAGGAGACACCTAAACCTAATGACAGAAAGGGAAAAAATACTATCCAAGATATCTGATGATGGAAAACAGCTTCTACAAATAGGTGCATGAGCCAAAAAGTAAAGGGAAGTCATGATTGGATGGTGTCATCAGGTTGGTATTGGCTGGAGGTGGCTTTGGCACTAAAAACTGTGGGATTCAGCTTTTAGAGAACAACAGTTTCCCTCCCTGGCAGGAAATGGAGAGCAGGAGAGCAACGCTGCTGAGCCCAAGAGTAGGACAGGTCTCACTGTGGCTGCTCACAGCCCAGCACCACAGTTCCCACGAAACCACCACTGGCACAGCTCCTCAGAATGAACACACACAAGGTGTGACCCCATGGAGGTACAGACAGGTTAAATGAGTTCAGGGGCTTTTGATCTGGACCTCAAATGTGATGGTGTACCTCAAACTACAAGCATTTGCAGTTGGAAGGCATTCACCGTTTGGGAGTTCAGCATGGCCAGAGGCAGAACCTGCGTGTATCTGACACAGTCAGCCTGGCCTGACAAAAGCTGTTTCCCATTTCGGTGTTCTGATGCCATTGCCTGTCTTGAGCCTCTTGTGGGATCAAACATCTCAGACGTGTCATCACAGTCTCTATTAATCTGTGATGCTGGAAGCCAAGAGCAGTGTCAGAGCACCCTACTCACCGCCTGTTCCCTCCATGATGCCCCGAACCACAGCCTGAACCCCACTGGGTCTCATCAGCCTCTCAGAGAGCAGCTGACCACAGAGGCGCCGCAGCCACGCCGGGGCCCGCACAAGGGCTGGCTTTGTTTCTTCCCCAGGAGAGGGAGGACTCTGAAAGGAAACAAAGGAGCTGGGTAAGGAGCATATTTGCACACCCCTGTGCACCCCCCACTGACAGGCAAACAGCCTGCACCCTGCCCTCCATGATGTGTGACCAGATAGGACAGGGAAAGGCTTTAAATAAATCACTTCTTCATCCAGCAGCACAAAGCAAATTAAGGCTTAATGAGAGACAGCCTCCCCAGAAACAGCCCCTTCTGCAGCCCCTTTAATTAAGCCCCTCTCCTTAATTAAAGCCTCTCAGGATCAGGCAGCAGCTCTGACTACTTCATTACCAAAATGAAGCACAGGGAGCTTGGGGACAAGTCAGGTTTGATGCAGGTAAGGGGTCTGCAGCAGTGAGCCCTGCCAGGATGTGGCACACTGCGCTGCAGAGGTGGCACCGTGAGCCCTCAGGTTCCCTGCCTGAGCAAAGCAATCCCCCAGGACAGCAGGAACAGCAGAGCTGTCAGGAGAGAGCTGTCTGAATGGAGGTGTCTGCCTGGACACCCTGAGAAGACAGGCCAGCATCACTGCTTAGGGAGATACAACACTTTCAGCTGGAAGGGACCTACACTGGTCATCTAATCCAACTGCCTGATCGCTTCAGGGCTGACCCAAAGCTACAGTATGTTACTACGCACATTGTCCAAAAATCAGCTTGGGATGTCAGCTCAGCTTGTTTAACCAGGAGATCCCTGTTTTTCTGCAGAACCAGTGTGGACTGAGAGCGAGGCCCTGCACAAGCAAGCAGCTTGTATGGACCCTGTCCATCCCTCACTGGTGGGACAGCCAGCTTTTGCCTTTGGGAATTGCTGTGATATCAGCTGGAGGATCACTGTGTGGCAGAGAGCTGCACCTAACCCAGTGACCCTGCATCACCTGTGTCCTGACCCCCAAACCATGACATGGCAGGTGGGCACGCACCCACCCACAGCACCCTCGGAGCAAGGATCTGTGCTCCTTTCCCTAGGGACTTTCTAAAAGCAGTATCAAGATTTCCCATCTCCTCCTCCCCACCACCACGAGGCAGCCTTTGAAAAGGCCTCAAGCACCAGCCAGTGCTAAGGCAGCACTGTTTTGCTCCCCTCACATGGAAAGGGGCAGGTTCTGGAAGAGCAGGCGCTTTGCTTAGCCTTGGAACTGCCAAGCCAAGGCAGCATGTGCTGCAATGGGATCACACTCACCCACACACCCATACAGCAGGGCCTGAGCTCCTGCCATGCAAGGGAAGCACACCCAGCAGCCTCGCCTGTGTGCTCACACAGTGCCCAGGGACAGGCGTGCTGCACTGAACTGGTTTGTAAGGTGAGAACACTGCAGTGGAGCAGCAAAGGAACCCTCTGAAGGTGGGAACACACAGTCCCTGCGCTCCATGCCAGCGGCTCCCTGCTACCTCTGGGTACCTGCTTAGGCCGTCCCTGCAGGATGAGCAGCTCCCGCACCGCCAGTGGCTGGTAGATGCGGTCCAGGATGTGCTGCAGGGTTTCCCGGCATCGTGCTCGCTCTGCTTCCGAAACACCCTGTGCAAAACAAACCCCAGGGTGGGGAGGACACTGGCATTAAACCCGACTGCGTGCCGGAGCCCCTCCAGCCCCTCTCCAGGCTCTCATCTATTCCCCTGCATGAGGACTAACATGCATGGCATGGGAGATGCCACTGAGAGCTATGGGGCTCCAGCCATGGGGCATGAGCTCGGCTGGGTGCTAACACCAGCACCGAGGGGATGGAAGCAGAGACCCACGGACCTGGCTGTAGGCAGCAGGCCCATGGCCCAGCAGGCAGAGGCTGGCGAGGAGGAGGCCCAGGTGGCGGGCGAGCAGCGGGGCACCCAGCGCAGGGTGCTGGGCCAGCTCGGACACGGCGGCGGTAGCAGCATGGAGCCGGGCCCCGCTGGTGGCCGGCGGTGCCGGGGGCGGCGCGCGGGGCCCCGGGATCTGCCCCACTCCCGGCGGTAGGTAGGGCACCAGGCCCAGCCCCACGGCGGCCCGCAGCGCCCGCCCGACCGCCCGGCCCTGCGCCACGCTCAGAGTGTCGGCGCTGGGCGGCGGAGCGGCACCGGGACCGGCACCGCGAGCGGCTGGAGCGGCGGCGAGCGCGGCCAGGCGCTCCTTCAGGCACAGCAGCAGGGCCAGCAGCGCGCAGGCGGCGGCCCAGCACGGGTCGGCTTCGCTCGCCGCCCCGGCTGCTAGCGCGGGGGCCCGGGCCAGCACTGCATGGCGCAGGCCGCGCAGAGCCGCCCAGCCCGGCTCCCGCCGCAGCTGTTCCTCCAGCGCCGACATGTTGCTGCGGAGCGTCTCCAGCCGCAGGGCACCGTCCGGGCCCGGCACGGCCTCATCATCCCGCTCACCGGGCCCGGCGGACGGCCGCAGCAACAGCTCAAGGGCCTCCACCACCCGCTCCACGTCCACACCCACGCCCGCCTCCATGCCGCCCGCCATCTTGGGGCCGCCGCGAAGGGGCGGGGCGGGGCTCGCCGCCGCCATCTTGGGGCGGAGTCGTGCTGACCGCCACCATCTCGGGGGAGCCGGCGGCCGCCATGTTGGGCGGGGCGGGAAGCGGAGGCCTGAGGGGCCGCCCCGGTGTGGCGGCGGGGCCGGGGTGTGCGGTGCCTCTCGGAGGGTCCGATGCTGCCCAAGAAGGACATCAGCCCTCCCGTTGTGTGTGTGGGGAGGTGGTGGTGCGAGCCCCGTCCCTCCGCCCACAGTGTCAGCAGCCCCTCTGGAGGGTGAGGTGTGCTGTGGGAGCTCCCACCCCAAGGCTCGTCGCTGTTGCAAGCAGAAGCTCCGGCTGCATCCAGCAGAAGTCAACAGCTTCCGGAAAGAAAACAGCAATTCTGCAAGGGAAGAGCCCAAATACATGTTGTAATAGGCCTGTGGAGGTGGAGGTGTACAAGTGAGGTCCCAATTAACACGGGAGTTGGGATGCTTGTTCAGTTCATGCCTGCACGGGGGTGGGTGCTTGATGGTAACCCCACAGAGCTGTCACAGCCTGTCCTGTCTGCCAGCTGCACGTTTCAAACAGGTAAAAGCTGTGTTTTCCTTACATAAAACAGCCTGTACCTACAGCCATTGGCTCTTGCCTGTTTAAAATCACAGTACATGTTTCACTATGCATGTTCTGTGAGCAAGGGTCTCAACTCGGGGTGTGACTTTTAGAATTACGACGATTTGTGTTCCTTTAGAACACAGTTATCTTCAGGTTTTATGAGCTTTCCAAAATGAGTTCTGCCTTCCTCACCTTTCTGAAGTGACTTGTCGCTCTTCTGGTCCACATGGTTCACTGGTCACTCTTCTACCTCTCCTCAAGGTGTGTGAGCTGGTGAGGAAACACCGATTTATCTTGCTACATGCAACTCTAAATTCAAATTGCAAGGTTCCGCACACATATCCTGTACGATACCTCAACCTTTTCACTGGTGGGTAACAACGGGTGTTGGTGCTGGCTCTCGGGAACAGTGGTAGGTTCCAAAGTGACCTACCTTTGGAACAAACAGGAAAGCACACAGAAGAGCAGCTCGCCTCCCCATGAGCATAACGAGGCAGGATGGCTGCCTTTGCCACCCTCTTATGCCGCGAACCCTTTGAGCACCGCAGGTGTTGCTCTCTTGTGTTTCCTCACAGGGCAGGGCCTCTGAAGGGAGGTCACAGCAATGCTGGGGCTGGACAAACATCAGCAATCTCTCACCCTTGCTAACAGCCTCCTCACCTCTGCTGTGTGCAGGTCACAGGGTCGGGCCAGTGCATGCAGCCACCACGGTAAGCACAAGCCTGGTTTTCATGCTGTGCCCTTTTCCCCTAGGACTCAATCAGGGAGAGTTGGCGCAAGGCAAAGCTGGGACTTGCTCTTAGTGGCCAGGCCCTGGTGATGACAAAACACCCGCTCAGGTATGGATACATCCCCCTTATACAGATTTGGGCGTTTTCTGTCTGCCCTTTGGAGGCAGCAGTGGACACAGCCACAGGGAAGAATGGCTCCCTGCACGCAGGCTGAGCACGAAGCACAGCAAAGGCAATGCAACCAGCAGAGCTGCTTTTGGTTTTCTTAAGACAATTTATTATTTCAATTTTATATAAAAACCGTACAATCAGCACTAGACAACTGCTGGCTTTCCAGCCCACATTAGACCCTTTTCCCATGATAAAAAATACAAACAAGCTAAAACAGAACTCAGAATTTCAGTGAAGCCAGTTTGATTTCCAAAAGAGCCTTTCATTGCACAATAATTACACCTGGCATGACACAGCAGGAAATCATCATAATCTGGGATACAGAAAAATAGAAATCTGCCTGTATGTACTGTATCAAATATAAATCCCCCATGTATAGCGCGTGATGGCGCATCTTTGGTCTGCATTTATGCATCACCTCACCCCGCTCCAGCAGAGGCACGGTGCCAGGGCTGCCCCGCTTCTCCAGCACCAGCTCTGTGAGCTGAACACAGTGGCAGGTTGGTGGTTGTGTCTGGGTAGGGAGCACGAGGTACTTTGGAGAGCATCAGAGAAATCCTATTTCCCCTGTAGCAAAGGGGGGGGAGGCAGTGGGAGCCTGTCCCTGCTGGGGAAGAGGAGCTGACCCTTGTCCATGCAGCCAGGATGGGTAAGGGGCTGGATGGCTCCATGCCCTGCCTGGAGCTGAAGGGGGCAAGAAATAAGGAAGATCCCCAAAAAAAAGCCCTCCCTAGCCCTGGTGACCCTGAGACTCCCCTGCACCGACTGAGGGGGACGTGGGCATCAGGCTGAGGAGTGTTGGAGGCAAAGACCAACATCAGTCCGGTGGGGTGAAATGAGGCAAGCTGCCTAGGCTGGGCGGTTGCCAGCCGGGCCGGGGGTCCTAGTCATCCTCCTCCCCACCGCCGTACAGGTCCGCCAGCTTCTTGAAGCGGTTGCCCCACTCGTTGAGGTAGTCGTAGTCCTGGTCGCGGTCAGAGGAGGAGGAGTTGAGGGAGCTGAGCGAGGTGGCCTCGGAGCCGCTGCCCTCGTAGTCGAACACCAGCAGGGAGTCGTAGGGGGGGGCCGTGGGGTCCGTGTCGGCTGCCTTCAGGTTCTGGGTGAGGAGAGAAGAGGGGTCAGTGCCCACGTCCCCTGGGTTGGGGGTACCCTAATGGTGCTGGCATGGATCAGTGGCTTCACCCCCACCAAGTCGTGTCCGCGTGGGGCTGGTGCTCACCTCATCGATGAAGTTCCCAATCTCATCGGGGTTTGCAGGACGAGGCCGGTACTGAGGGGCAGCCATCAGCGGGGGGGCCACATCATTGCGGATCACCTCAGGGCGGGCATCCAGGCCCCGATGCAGCTGACTCAGGTCGTAGTCCTGTGTGGGGATGGAGCAGGGAGAAAATGAGGAGACAACGCTCAAGGGATGCCATAGGCACCATTATGGGAAGGACCAAAGGTGCCACAGGGAGCCAGCAGGGCCAGCCCAGCAGTCATCCCACCTGGTCCTCCTCTCCACCACCCTCCTCGTCATAGTGGTAGACATTGTCCCGCATGTCATCCTCAGGTGGGAGCAGTGGCTCCTTCACCACCTTCCTTCTCCTAGCGAAGAGCAGCAGAAGCAGCAGCAGAACTGCGAGCAGAGGGCACCACATCAGTGTGGCAGGGTAAGCGTGACCTGTTCCCATCCCCATCCTGTCCCCATCCCATGGTACTCACTGAGCAGTGCCAGGATTCCGCCTAGGATGCCCAGGATGGCAGGGACGCCCAGCCCGCTGGCGATGAATGCTCGCCGCTCGCAGTTCTTGGCTGGCCCTTCACAGTCACAGACCTGAGCTTTGACCTGTGTCACCTGCGACTTGCCTTGGCCGTCAGTCAGCTTCAGATAGATGCTGTACTCCCCTGGCTCCAGCTCCTTCATCAGCTTCAGCACCAGCTGGTCTGGCAGCAGAGAGAGCAGATGGGCTCAGAGGTGCGCTCTAGCCCCTGGGACTGGGGACACTCTTGGCAGTGGTGCAGTCCCCCAACACAAAGGACAACACCAGCTGTGCTTGGGGGGGAAGCACAGAAAGCCAAGGGGGCCTGGCATGGGCCCTTGCTCATCATCTCCCTACCACCCTACACCGAGAACGGATGGCTAGGCCAGACCAGGCAGCACCTACCTTGTCCTTTTAGTGTGACGGTCCAGTTGATGCTAGAGCCGTGCTCCAGCACTGCCTCAAACGGGTAGGTGTTGGGTGGCAGGTCCTTGTCGATGATGGTCAGCGTCTGATCCTCAGGCTGCCGGGTGCAGACATCAAAGAGCCGGGGCTCCGGCATGGGACCATTGTCATTCACATCCTGGAGAAGGAGGAGGAGCGTCCCCGTGCCAGTGGCATCCGGTGACCCTGCAGTGGTAACCTGGGGGTTAGTGTGGCACCTGGGGAGGTGGTCCTAGCCCAGTCCCTGCCCCAGAATCTATGGTAGGACACAGGCGGGTGGCAGCAGCCCCTTCCCAAAGGACAAGGCAGGGTGCTCCTCACCACTGTCCACAGCCAGGACGATGGCCTTGTAGGTGCTGTTAATGGCGTGCACCGACTCCCGGTCCAGTGGCTGGGCTGCAGTGACGATGCCATTCTCAGGGTCGATGGCAAGCCACCCTGCGGGGTCACTGCCCATGCGGTACCTAGGGCAAGAAGGGGACAGTGGGGAGGATGCTGTGAAGGGGAGGAAGGGGTGCATGGCACAGTGGGTACAGCGCAGCCCCTCAGGTACTGCAGCACGGCTCCTGCCACCAACCTTCCTATACTCACGTGATTTTCTGCCTCTGATCCTTGTCAGGGTCCTGGGCCGTGTAGGAGGTGACCTGGTGCCCCACCGGCAGGTCCTCCATCACCTCCACCCTCTTGACTGGGGGCACAAAGACAGGGGCTTCATTCACATCCCCAACCGTCACCAGGACTGTGGCAGAGGAGAGCGGCAGGGACACGGTGAAGGGGATGGCATTTTCCACTGTCACCACGAGGTTGTACTGGTTCCTGGTCTCGTAATCCAGGCCCTGGTGGGGAGCAGCAGGAGAGAGGAGCTGGGCAGCGCTGGCAAAGAGGCAGCTGGCACGGAGGTGGCTGCACAACAGCACAACCCACCTTGGCTGTTTTCAGGATGCCATCGTTGGTGTTGGGGTCGGTGGTGATGCTGAATTCACCATCCTGGTTCCCAGTCTTGATCTTGTAGACAGCTTGCCAGGCCGGGGTGCCTGGCATGTCCCGGTCCGTCACATGCAGCCGTGCCACCACCACCCCCACCTCATTCTCATTCACCGTTCCCTGGTACTGCAAAAGAGGCAATGGGGAGGGTCAGCCCCATGGTCCCAGACACCCTGGGGGGGAAGGACTTGTATCAAGATGGCCCAGGGAGGGCAGTGGCTCATGGGAGCCAGCTCAGGTACCATGGTGGGGTCAAAGACAGGAGCATTGTCATTGGCATCTGTGACTTCCACAATGGCGGTGGCAGTGTTGGTCAAGCCATTGCCCTCCTGGTCTGCAGCCTGGATGATCAGCGTGTAGTTGGGGGTGGTCTGCAAGCCAAAAGCACCATGGTTAGGGCATGGATGGGGTCTGGCAAACCCCCTCTTCCAGGGGTGTTGGCTACTGCTCTTCCACCCTTCTCCAGCCACCATGTTCACCGCCAGCACAGACACCTGTTGATGTCCTCACTGCCCACCCGAAGGGCTGGCAGTCCACCACTCCTGGGGCTCAGCAGAGACAGGGACCCCTGTAATACCCCTACTGCAGATCCCAATGAGCTTTTGGGGCTGCAGACACCCCTAGAACAGGGGACAGTGCCCAAGCGATGCCAAGTCCCCAAAAGAGCCAGACCCTGGATTTCCAGCACCCTCAACTCCTCGCAGCAAGTCCTATCACTGAGCTGCTGCACTGTCCCCTGGGATGCAGCAAGGGTTCGTACCTCCCGGTCCAGCCCCGTGCCGATGACACTGATGATGCCCCTCTCCGGGTCGATGGTGAACATCTGCTGCGCACTCTTGGGCTCCTCGCTGAGGATGGAGTAGCCAATGATGCCGTTGTTCACATTGATCGCGTCATCTGCATCCGTAGCATTCACGGTCATCACAGATGTGCCTGGACACAGGGACAAGCAGGACAGAGATTATTGATGGCACAAAACCCACTGGACATCATTACATGGTCCCAGCCATGGGGGCACCACCTTGCCAGCCCCCACGTACCCGGCTTTGCGTTCTCCTCGATGTAGCCAATAAAGACTTGCTTGGTGAAGACGGGCCGGTTGTCGTTCTGGTCCGTCACGGTGATGATGATCTCCATGGGGTCCTCCACAGGCTGCCCGTTGGCTGACACGGCGTGGGAGAAGAGCTGCGAGGGCACCGTCAGCTGCGCGCGGCCCCGGGACCGTCCCGTCCCCCCCATCCTGGCCCCCCACTCACGACGTATTTGTCGATCTCCTCCCGGTCCAGCGGCTTCGTCACTTCCAGCCACCCCGTCTCCCGCTCGATGGTGAAGACCCCCACAGGGGGGGTGTCCGCCCCCTGCCCCGTGATGCTGTAGAAAACCTTGGTCTCCCTGTCCTTGTTGGATTTGATCTGGTGACGAGGCAGAGCGCGTTTAGAGGGGTCCCGGCACCACGGGTCCCCCCTCCCAACCCTGTGCCCCGTCCCTATGGGGCCACGTACCTGCACCAGCTTCTTGGGGAAGGGCCCCCGCTCGTTCTCGGGGCAGTTGATGGGAGGGATGACCCAGTCCCTCTTCTGCCGATGGAGCCCATGGCTGGGCTTGGGGAAGGTCAGCACATCAGCTGCAGCATCCTGTGGGGAGAGTGTCTAAGCTCAGTGCCAGCACCTTGCCAAGCCTCTGCATGCTCTGCTCTGGGGAGAGGGCCTGTGCTGACCCCAAGAGAGGGGCTGCACTTTACCTCTTGCTGCTCCTGGTCATGGTGGCGATGGTGATGGTGCCACCGCCTGCGCAGGGTCACTCTGGCCGAGTGCTTCTTGCCCGTAGCATCCCATGTGTGGACAGAGAAACTGATCTCCTGCCGCCGGAGCTGCAGGGGCCGGGTCGCAGAGACGACACCATCCCTGCTCACCTTGAAGCGCGTGTCATCTGAGAGGTACGGGGCACGCCGCTGCTCGCCGCAGTCCCCAAAGCTCACTGCGGACAGGGAGAGCGGGTGGGCATGGGGCTCCTCGTGCTGCCCCGGGGAGCTGCTGAGGGCAGGCGGCAGAGCCAGAGGGCACACAATAGTGTGAGACAGGCACACATTACACAGCACAGAGACACGGGGGGACCATGGGGTAGCAGGCATGGCAGGGATGTACTGTGCTACATGTTCTGCCAGCATCCCGTCCTGGGCGTGTTGTGTGGCACAGTACATGGGGTACCCCTGCTATGGGTACAGCATGACTGGCTGTACCATTGGATCCCTGCCAGCCCATGACAACAGGCAGATGACATGCAGGACAGCATGTCCCTATCTATAGCACCGTGCACTGCACATCCCCACACTTGCCACATCTATGCCATGTGGCACAACCCCATGCATGGTTGCATCTCTGCGGTGCAGCATGTCCCCAGTGTGGCATGTCAGCTCTGCTGTGCCCTGAGCTGCTGCTACAGCTGCTTTCAAACCTGCTCACTCGCAGTGACACCCAGTGCCCTGAAACCCAGCACCCCGGCACCCAGTACCCAGTGCCATGGCACCCAGCATTCCAGCAGCAGGGCTCTAGGGGCTGCCAGCGCTGATCCACGGGATTCTGCATATAGGTGAGTTATGGTGCCTCAGTGTGTGGGGACACATAAGGGTCCCTGGGCCCCGCATGGCCAGGGACCATGACCACATGTCTGCAGCAGAGACAGCCCAGACTGCAACCAACTGCACGAGGGGGACATTAATCTGTGTGGCAGGAAGGTGCCAGCCCCAGTGCAGCAGCGGAGGCACCCAGACTGCCCAGACACCCTTTGATGCCTCCAGCAACCCCGATGGGGGTCCCCAGGGACAGCAGCACCCACCACAGGCCAAGGTGGACACTGTGCTGACATCACCAGCTTGGCACCCTGCTCGGGCGCAGTACAGACCAGGACCAGGACATGGGGTCTGCAGGCAGTCCATGGGGAGGTTCTGACCACGCCTGGGCCATCAGCAGTATCACATGAGCTGGGGCCTTGCTGCTAGAGCTCCTGAACAAACACCCTTTGTCTGGGAGAGGGTTTGTTTGAGCCAGCAGCATGGACCAGAGCCCCCGCTGGTGCGGCCACGATGGGCCCCGGTGTGACCCACACCACGCAGAGCAGGAGGTGGGGTGGGACACGGCACAGCGCGCCCAAACACAGCACGAGGCCAGCCCGAGGGCTTGCATCAGCCCACATGGGGCCGGGGAATCAGAGATGGGATGGAGGCGGGTGGGGAGTGATCACCGAGCCCTGGGCTGGGGGCTGAGCCAACGCGGTGCCCCCAGCCCAGCCCGGGAGGACTGGGTGCTGCCAGCCCAGCCTGGCCCCATGGCAGGACCCCCGGCAAAGGCTGTGGGACCGGTGCTGCCGGCTGGGCAGGAACGTGCCGAGGCAGGCCAGGCTGTTGGCAGCACGGGGGGAGGAACCTCAGCACCCATGGGTGCAGGCACAGGGCTTGGCGCCTGTGAGCTGCGCTGTGCTGTGTGGGAGCAGCGAATGGGCTGTGCTCAGCCCTGAGCCCCACACTGGGTGCAATGAGCGCTCAGTGCTCAGCCCCACACCAGGTGGGTGCAGTGAGTTCTGTGTGCTCAGCACCCGCTCCCCCTCTTCCCACTTCCCACCCGGACACGTACAACCTGTTTTTCCAGCTCCTGGGTTGAAGGAAACCTGTCCTCAGCCCTCCCCTCCCCGGGGCCCCCTCTCCTCCTTGGGAATGGCAGGGAGAGTGGTGAGGAGAGCTGGGGGGGAGCTTCAGGTGGATCCCCCCTTCTAAGCCCCCCAGGTGGGACAGCCAAGCACCGTGCTGCCCAGGACAGGAGGATGAGATCCCACCGGGGATGGGGAGCAGCACAGTCCCCACCCCACCCCACGTCCCACAGCGTGTCACCAGGGCTGGGCACAGCCTGACTCACCCTTTGCACAAGCACTGACTGGGAGGGATCCGGTGGCGAGGGGGGGGGGGGGGCTCACGTCACCCGGCAGGGAGCTGGGGTGAAGGTGCTGGCGCCCACTGACGTCACCCCAGTTTCACCCTGACTTCAGACTCGTGAGGGTCTCCCACCTGGGGCTGGCGTGGGAACGTCCCAGCCCCACCATGTGGCTGCCCCAGAGACCCCCTTCCCCACCCATCAAATACAGCCACAGGGTCCCCATCGGCCCCCGCGCAGATGTTTGCTTCCCCAGCCCAAGCCTGTCCAGACCTGTTGGAGTGAAAACACCGAAACACCACGCTCAACTCATCGAGCTAATTACAGGCCGCCTCATCAGCTGCCCTCGTGGCAGCCAGACCCTGCAGTGCTGCATGGCGTGGGGGGGAGCATTGCTAAGCTCCCACCGTGCTCAGTTACCCCCATGGCCAGGCATTACCCGGCTGGACCATGGCCCATCCAGGCAGACATCCCCTTCACTCCTCCCACCCTCTGTGTCTCCAGCCGGGACCTGAAACTGGAAGTTCTGAGATGGGGAATTTCCAGCAGGTCCTGGCTTCTAGCGACTAGCCCTGACGCCAAGGCCGTGGGGCTGCCCGTCACCCTGGTACCGGGCACAGGCTGCTTTAGCTTCGTTAATGATCAGTCACAAAGCTAACAAAAGGCAATTCCTGCGGTGTGGGGCAGGGTTCAGCTCCTGGCTGCAGACTGCAACCAAGCAAAGACCTTCTGGAACCAGGGGTGCGTTTGGAAGCCCCAAAAGCCATTCATAAGCACAGATAGTGATGGCCCGAACACTGCTCTGGGTGCCTGCAACCCCCATCCACTGCGCAGCCCCCCGGCACTCAGGGATCGGGGGTGGGGATGTGCAGGGTACACAAGGTGGGTCCCCAACGCCCGCTTCCCGGGGCACGCATTTCCCTGGTGCCTCCCTGCACGCCGAGCGCCAGCGACACCGGGCTTAGTGCGTTCACCCCATGAGCCCCGGGACCCCGCGGCCGAGGCAGGACGGGCGCCGTCGAGGCCCCACGCCCCGGCTGGCGGCACCAACAGGGCTGCACCGCCTGGGTCAGCGCCAGCGCACCCCGGGGAGAGGCCCCCCCGGACCCCGCCATGGCGGCGGCGGTGGCAGCACCGGTACCGGGGGCCCTCGCGCGGGCAAACACAGCCACGGCTCCGTCCCGGTGCGGTGTGTGTGCAGCCAGCCCCACTGCCAGCACCTTACGACGGACCCAGCGCGCCCCAAGGCTCCAGCCCCGTCCCCACGGCCACCCAGCCCGTCCCCTCCGCTCCCGCCTTACCTCGCCCCAGCGCCCGTCCCGCCGCCACGCTGTCCCGCGGCACGGCGAGGGCAAAGGTGCCCGCGGTGAAGCCGGGCTCGCAGGACGGTGCCCGCTCGCACAGCCGGTGGCCAACCTGCCCGGAGAGAGCCGTCAGGTCCGGAGGGGGTCCCGCCGCCCCGGGCAGGGTCCCACGGTCCCGTTCCTCACCTGGAGCAGGAGCAGGAGCAGACAGATCGGGGCCGCGCAGCCCCCCCGCCGCCCCATAGCTGGGTGCCGCTGCGGTGCCGGAGCGACGGATGCGTCCACCGCGGAGCCGCACGCAGGTGAATCCGGTCCTGCCGCGCAGTGCCCGCCTTCGCCCCCACACAACGACGGGAACCGCCCCGACCCGTCCCGTCCCGTCCCGAGGGAGGCGGTGCCGTCCGCCCCCGGCACCCCAGAGCCTCCGCCCCAGCTGCGCGCTCGACGGGAGCTCCGCGGGTGCCAGCGCAGGGCCGTGGGAGCCCGCGGCTGGTCGGGGGGGGGGGGGGCGGGATGCCCCTGGGACCCCTACCAGCCCCTTCCCTGTACACCAGCGAAGGCCTTGGCCCCACCGATCAGTGGGGCTATTCCCCGTAGCCCTGTGGCCAGCAAAGTCAGGGTACCGCCAGGGCAGCGAGGCCAGGAGAGTGACAAGGAGCTGCTGGGGGGTGCAGAGTTGACCACGGAGGTGCTGCGAGGGCTGGAGCAGCTCTGCTCTGGAGCCAGGCTGGGAGAGCTGGGCTGGGTCAGCCTGGAGAAGAGAAGGCTCCTGAAGGGGAGACCTTAGAGCAGCTCCAGTGCCTAAAGGGGCTGCAGGAAACCTGGAGAGGGGCTTGGGACAAGGGCCTGTAGGGACAGGCCAAGGGGAATGGCTTGAACCTGCCCGAGGGGAGACTGAGATGAGCTCTTAGGCAGAAGCTCTTCCCTGTGAGGGTGCTGAGGCGCTGGCACAGGGTGCCCAGAGAAGCTGTGGCTGCCCCATCCCTGGCAGTGCTCAAGGCCAGGTTGGACACAGGGGCTTGGAGCAAGCTGCTCCAGTGGAAGGGGTCCCTGCCTGTGGCAGGGGTTGGAACTGGATAAGCTTTAAGGTCCCTGCAAACACAAACCAGGCTGTGACTGTAATTTGGCACTGTGGATGCTCAGTGCCACCAGTGCTGCTGCCACAGGCATGGGGTGCCCTGGCCTGCACTCACCTGCACAAACACTGCACCCTGTGGGGAAAAGGTGTTGGGGGAGCCCTCGCTGTGGGAGGCACCATGGGCAGAGCCCCTCCACCATGGGTGACACTGCAGCCATGCCTGAGGGCCCCGTGCTGGGGCTGGGAGCAGCCAGACACTGCTGTGCATAGAGGGACGGGGCTGGGGGGCTGCAGTGGGGTATGTCAGCAGCAACCCCAGGGCACAAAGGCAGGCAGAGGCTGTAGCATCTAAAAAAAACCACCACATCCTTTATTAAAACTTACACCAGTATCCGCTCACCTCGTCCGTATCGTCACACTACTTTTATTTCATACATATACAAAAAATAACCAATACAGGACAGGAAGGTGAAGGGGCCGCCACTGAGGCAGGGGCACAGCGGGAGGGGGCAGCCCCAAGGCACAAGGGCAGCGGTAAGGCATGGGGTGGGGGGGGCAGTGGGGAAGGGGGGTCCTAGTCATCCTCCTCCCCACCGCCATACAGGTCCGCCAGCTTCTTGAAGCGGTTGCCCCACTCGTTGAGGTAGTCGTAGTCCTGGTCGCGGTCGGAGGAGGAGGAGTTGAGGGAGCTGAGCGAGGTGGCCTCGGAGCCGCTGCCCTCGTAGTCGAACACCAGCAGGGAGTCGTAGGGGGGGGCCGTGGGGTCCGTGTCGGCTGCCTTCAGGTTCTGGGTGAGGAGGGAAGAGGGGTCAGTGCCCATGTCCCCTGGGTTGGGGGTGCCCGATGTGCCAAACCACTTCACCCCCCTCCCACCACATCCCAGGGCTGCGTCTCACCTCGTCAATGAAGGCGCCGATGTCGTCGGGGTTGGCGGGACGGGGCCGGTACTGGGGGGCTGGCAGGAGAGTGGGGGCCACGTCGTTGCGGAGCAGCACCTCGGGGCGGGCGTCCAGGCCCCGGTGCAGCTGCCGCAGGTCATAGTCCTGTGTGGGGACACACACGTGATGGAAAGGGACAGGATCAGGCTGCCTGCACTGACACGGGTCCCCCCTGTCTGCCCCCAGCACACACACCTGATCCTCCTCCCCGCCGCCCTCCTCCCCGTAGTAGAAGATGTTGTCCCGTGTGTCGTCCTCAGGCAGCAGCAGCGGCTCCTTCACCACCTTCCTCCTCCTCACGAAGAGCAGCAGCAGCAGCAGGATGACTGGGAGGGAGCAGCAGAGTCAGTGGGGACATCTCCCACCCCACCCTATTGTAGGTGCAGCCCCACGGCACCCCCAAACTCACGCAGCAAGGCCAGGAGAGCGCCCAGTGCAGCGAGGACAACGGGCAGGCTGGTGGCAGCCTGTGTTCTCTGGGGGCAGCTCTGCGTCGGCCCCTCGCAGTCACAGACGCGTGCGGTGACCACGGTGAGCTGGGCTTTGCCAGGCTGGTCGAGGAGCCGCAGGTACACACTGTAGACATCCGGCTGCAGCGGTGCCACCAGCTGCAGGGTGACCGTGTCACCTGCGTGGAGATGGGTGTCTCGTGGGGGGACGCACTGGTCACAGCACTGCCCACCCCTCACTGAGCACCCCCCTGGCATTACCTTCATCACCGACCGCCACGTCCCATATATCCCCAGAGCCGTGGATGAGCTCGGCGCGGAAGGGGCCGGTGTTGGGGGGCAGGTCCCTGTCGGTGACGGTGAGCACCTGTGGTTGGGGGCTGCGGTTGCAGACGGTGATGTCCCGGGGCTCAGCCTCGGGGCCGTTGTCGTTCACATCAAGCAGGGTGAGGAGCAAGGTGCCCGTGCCTGTGGCAGGTGGGGAGCCTGCAGCGAGGAGCAACACTGGAGGGGGGGATCCCCAATACCAGCACCCTCACGAGGATGGGGATGCCCTGAGCAACGGTGGGGACAGGCAGCCCCCAGCACAGCTCCATGCCGGAGCCAGGATTCCTGGTGATGGCAGCATGTGTCCCTCACGAGGAGGAGGGAGAACAAGGGCCCCTTTCACAGCCTCACCATCGTCCATGGCCAGCAGCACAGTGGTGTAGGTGCTGTTCTTGACAAAGGGGGACTCGCGGTCTAGGTGGCCCTGTGCTGTCACGAGGCCGGTCTCGGGGTGCACGGCCAGCCAGCCCGCAGGGTCGTGCCCCACCAGGTACCTGAGGGGCAGAGGGGAGCTGGTGCCACTGCGGGAGACAGCGGGGACCCCTCTAGACCCTGACCCCAACCCCAGCCCCACTCACTTGATCCTCTGCCCCTGCGCCTTGTCGGGGTCCTGGGCTGTGCAGGAGGCTAGAGCCTGCCCCGGCGGCACATCCTCTGGCACCCGCGCGAGCTGCACCGGCGGCTCGAACACGGGAGCCTCATTGACATCCTCCACATTGACCATCACCGTGGCGGTGGCCACCGGCAGCTTCACGGCGAAGGGGGCCTCGTTGGTCACGGCCACGTGGAGAACAAACTGCTTCTTGGCCTCGTAATCCAGAGCCTGTGAGAGAAGAGAGGCTGGGCAGTTCCCTGCAGTGGGCAGCAATGGGGGACACGGGGACACAAGCACGCACCTTGGCAGTGCGCAGGATGCCCTCGTTGCTGGCAGGGTCGGTGGTGATGGCGAAGGCACCTCCCTCGTTGCCACGCAGGATGGAGTATACAGCTCGCCACGCCGCCGTGCCCGGCTCATCCAGATCAGTGGCCACCAGCCGGGCCACCTCCCGCTCAGCCTCGTTCTCCGGCACAGCTGCCTCGTACTGCAGGTAAGGGGCAGCATCAGTGCCACAGAGCGGTGGGCACCGGAACAGTGCTCCCATGGGGGGGGTATGGACCCGATGTTACCGTTTTGGGGTCGAACTCGGGGGCATTGTCATTGACATCCATGATCTCGATCACCGCCAGTGCTGTCGTGGTCAGCCCCTCACCATCCAGGTCGGCCGCCTGCACGGTCAGGGTGTACTCCCGCACGCGCTGCAGCAGGACAGATAGATGACACTGTGAGCCCTGCCCGGGGCCGGGGCTGCCTGCCCTGTGGTGCTGCGGAGCTCACCTCCCGGTCCAGGCCGCTGGCAATGACTCTCAGGGCGCCGGTGGCCCGGTTGACAGTGAACATGTGGGGATGGGGCTCCCGTGGCTCCTGGCTGAGGATGGAGTAGGCAATGACACCGTTGTAGGTCTCCACTGCATCGTCCGCATCCATGGCGGTCACCTGCATCACGGACGTGCCTGGGAACAAGGGTGTCCAGTGAGTGGGGTGAGTAATGGGTCTAAACTGAAACAGGGGAAGTTGAGGTTGGATACGAGGCAGAAGCTCTTCCCTGTGAGGGTGCTGAGGCGCTGGCACAGGGTGCCCAGAGAAGCTGTGGCTGCCCCATCCCTGGCAGTGTTCAAGGCCAGGTTGGACAAAGGGGCTTGGGTGACATGGTCTAGTGTGAGGCATCCCTGCCCACGTCAGGGGTTGGAACTGGGTGATCTTAAGGTTCTTCCTACCCACACCTTTCTGTGATTCTATGATGGTGCCAGGGCATTCCCCAGGGGATGTGGCTGGTGGGAGGCAGAGCTTGCCCACGGCACAGGATCCCTACCTGGCAAAGCACCCTCCAGCACTGAGCCCCTGAAGACCTCCTGTGTGAACTGGGGCTTGTTGTCGTTCTGGTCCGTCACAGTGACGATGATCTCCATTGGCTCCTCCACCGGTTTGCCGTTCTCAGACACAGCGTGGGAGAAGAGCTGTGGGCAGTGGGGTGAGCGCGGGGAGCAGCGCGGCCCCACACCCCCAGCATCCCCCGGCAGGGACCTACGTGGTACTTGTCGATGCGCTCCCGGTCCAGCGGCTGCGTCACCTTCATCCAGCCCGACTCCTTCTCGATGGTGAAGATGCCCTCGGGGGGGGCATCCGCCCCCTGCCCTGTGATGCTGTAGAAGATCTTGGTGTCTCTGTCCCGGTTGGATTTGATCTGCGAGGAGATGTGAGGAAGCTCAGTACCCCCCACCCTCGCTGCCGGCCCTGATGTAGCTGTGATGGACCCCTCCCCAGCACCCAGAGCCCTCTATACCTGAACCAGCTTTTTGGGGAAGGGGCCCCTCTCATTCTCAGGAACCTTGATGGGGGGGATCACCCAGTCCCTCTTCTGCCTCCTGGGAGCAGTGCGAGCCCCGAGGAACTGCAGGATGGAGGGAGGAAGATGAGGGTGCATCCAGATGGGGGGGCAGAGTAGGCGGGGGGGGGGGTTGGGACAACGACAGCCAGGCATTACCTGGGGGGAGCGCCTGTTCCACACGGGAACTGCAGCAGGGTCTGGCTGAACCGCAGCACCCCGGGGGGGAGCAGTGAGCTCCCTGCCCACCCCCAGCAGCTGCACGGGGCCCCGGTCCTCCTGCGCCCCAACATCAGGTTCCTTGGTCCCGTACGGCCCCACGCAGGCTCCACAGCTCGCTGGAAGAGAGCAGGGGTCACGGTGGCCGGGGGGGAGCCTGCCCCTCAGCCCCAGCACCCCGTGTCCCCCGGCAGCGGCCGCCGTGCTCCCCCCCCAGCCCCCCGAGGCGGATCAGCCGGATCAGGCAGGGGATGCCGGGAGCGCGGGGCAGGTTTCGGTGGAGGTTTCGGCTTTGTTTTGTAGATGACGGGAAATTCCTGGGCAGGCAGAGCCCTGCCCAGCTCCCCCCTCCGTGTGTCACCCCCTCGGGGCTCCCAGCCCTCCATGGCCACGAACAAGGGGCACAGCTCGCCCCCAACCACCCCCCCCCCATCACCCAGGACCGGGCTGCATCCCCAGTGCTGGATACGGCCCAGCACCTGCACCCAGGCGGGAGGCAGGATTAGGGGATTAGCAGAGCTAAACCAGCTCCGGAGGCTGAGCGGCCGGGAGGGGATGGAGAGCGGGTCTATGGGGGGGGGGGGGGGCGAGCCGTGCCCCACACCGGGGCGGGGAGCGAGCCCCGGGGACACGGTGGAGCCCCTCGCTCCCACACGGAGTCCAGCAGCCGTGCCCGGAGGGCAGCGCTGTGGGCTCCTCCCTAACGCGATGGCCGCGATAGTGGGGCAGGAGGAGCCACAGACACCCCGGGCAGCGGGACTGGGGCATGAGGATGCCCGAGGAGCCCCGGTCCCCGGTTATGCCACGCGTTGGTGGCACAGCGCGGTCGGGACCCGCAGCCTTGTTGCTGCCCCCCTCGGGGCTCTGGACCGCACCGTGCGCTCGGGGTCCGTCCATGCAGAGTCCGCATGGCACCGTGCCTGCTCTACACAGCCGTGGAGCCGGACGGCGGTGCCTGGGCCACGTCCTGCCCACAGAGGGGTTTCACCACGGTGCAGCCGGACCCCAGCCCCGCTCCCGGCAGGAGCTTGGCTGAAGGGAGCGGGATCCGGTGCCCACGCCAGGAGAAGGTCAGGGCCAATCCCTCCCTGGCACGGCGAGAGCACTTACCGCCAGGGAGGGCTTTAAGTGCTCCGCAGCCATTAGGCGAGGAGGGCTTTTAGTGCTCCGCTGGCTCCGATCGCGGTTCCAGAGCAGCCCCGCTCCCCCGGGATGCCGAAGCGGCCGAACAGGCTCAGGCAACAACGCCAAAGGCCGGCGGCTGTGAGCCCCTGCCCAGCCCCTGGCCGGCCGGACCCTGCAGCCCACGGTGCCCGCTCCTGCCCGCGGACGGAGACGGGCGGCCCCGGGGCACCCATCCTCATCGCCAAACCGGCGCCGGGCGCTCACCCTGCGGGGACCCGGCCCTGCCCGGCGGGTGCCTCGCAGCTGGCATCAGCCGCCGCCAGTCCCGGTGGGGCCAGACGCGCTGACGGGGCACCGCCAGCCCCACGGCTCAGCCCCACACCTCGGGGACCCCCGGCGATCCCACACCCTGGGCAGCACCGATACCCTCCCGAGAAGCACCGACCCCATGGCCTGGGGCGCGCAGCCGGCCCCAGCTCCGGCCTCACAAGCCGGGGGCCCTGCAGCACTGACACAGCAGCGAGGTGGGGCCCCGCTGCACCCCCTTCCGCCGCCCAAGTCCCGACCCCGGTCCCAGCCCCGCCGCTCATCCCGGGGTCCAGGTGGAGCCTTGCCCCGACGGCGCCGCTTACCTGGTGCCTGGAGCTGCCCGCGGCGCAGCCCCGGGGGGACGCACGGCGGGGCCGCCGGCAGGAGCGGCGGGAGGAGGAAGAGGAGGATGATGAAGAGCGGGCAGAGCCCGGAGCGCGGCTCCCGCATGACCCCTCCGCTGCCGCCGCCGCCGCCGCCGCTCCGATCTCCGCCCGCTCCGCCCGGCCCCGCCCCGCCCGCTGCAACGCGCCCCTCCAGGTGATGCTGCGGCCGCGCAGGTACCGCCCCGCACGGCCCCGGCCCCCCCTGTGCCCCCCTCCCCGGTGCCGCTGTGCCCCGGAACCTCCGCCCCGGCATCCCGGTACCTTCCGGGTACCGCCGAGCGCTCCCGTTACCTCCCCGGTACCCCGGGCACTGTCTCCCGCTGCCCCCGCAAATCCCCCCGGCCCCAGTGCAGCCCGGGCTGCAGCTCTTGGGACCCCCCCCATCTCCCGGGACCTCTGCACCCTGCGGCGGGGGCTCTCCCACTCTGCGAGGGGATCAGGGTGCGTACCCCACTGCTGCGGGGGTCCCGTCCCCTCCCTCCACCTCGGGGTGCCCCGAGCACTGCCTGGGGTCGGGTCCTAGGGTCTAGAGGCGTCCTCAGCACCCTGCGAGGGGCTCAGAGCCTCGGGTGCCTTTGGGTGCCCCGAGTGAAGCAGGATCCCGGTGGGACCCTGTGTGCGCCCCAGCCATGCTGGGGGGGGGGTCCTGTGCCGCCCATGAGCAGTGCCCAAGGGTCTCCCCGGCTCCATCACCTCCAGCCTGGAGCAGCACCGTCCGTGCTGTGCCCCCGATGGGTCCCTCCTGAGCCCTCCAGCACCCATGGGCTGTCTCCCGGCTTTCCCGGCAGGACTCGGCCAAGAGAAGTTCCGGAGCCAGCACCGCTGCAGCCATGTGGCCCAGCACCTTCACCCTCCTCCTCCTCCTCCTCCTCCTCCTGGTAGAACGGTCCCGGTGTGCCCCCCTCAGCCATGCTGTCCATCCTGCAGGGTGTGCTGACCTTCCCCAAGCCCAGCCATGGGCTCCATCGGCAGAAGAGGGACTGGGTCATCCCTCCCATCAACTGCCCCGAGAACGAGCGGGGGCCCTTCCCCAAGAAGCTGGTGCAGGTACGTGGCCCCATAGGGACAGGGCACAGGGTTGGGAGGGGGGACCCGTGATGCCTGGACCCCTCTAAACGCGCTCTGCCTCGTCACCAGATCAAATCCAACAAGGACAGGGAGACCAAGGTTTTCTACAGCATCACGGGGCAGGGGGCGGACACCCCCCCCGTGGGGGTCTTCACCATCGAGCGGGAGACGGGGTGGCTGGAAGTGACGAAGCCGCTGGACCGGGAGGAGATCGACAAATACGTCGTGAGTGGGGGGCCAGGATGGGGGGGACGGGACGGTCCCGGGGCCGCGCGCAGCTGACGGTGCCCTCGCAGCTCTTCTCCCACGCCGTGTCAGCCAACGGGCAGCCTGTGGAGGACCCCATGGAGATCATCATCACCGTGACGGACCAGAACGACAACCGGCCCGTCTTCACCGAGGAGGTGTCCCATGGGGCCGTGGTGGAGGTGGCTGAGCCAGGTTAGACCAATGCCACTGACCAGGGGCAGTGAGGGGGTGACAGTGAGGGGATGTAGGAGATGTCACGGACAACTACCTGCTCCCAGGAACTTTCATGCTGTGGGTGCTGGCTACCGACACAGATGACCCAGTGAGCACCCATAGCAGGGCTGTGGTCTGCTCCATCCCGCGCCAGACACCAGACCAGCCCCAGCCCCAGATGTTTCCCATCAACAGTAGCACTGGGGTGATCTCTGTGACTGCAGAGGGCTGGTGTCACAGCTGAGCCCTGGGTACACCCTGCTGCCCCCCAGGCTGGCTGTCACCCCATTTGGGAGCGACCCAGCCTCTCACTGTGAGCAGCCCTGGAGATCCCAGTGGCTGACATGGAAGGTCATGGTCTGCAGGCCACTGCCACCACCCTCATCACAGTGCAGGTGTGGGCACTGAGCCCACCCCGGTGCAGTTGGGCAGGGTTAGATCATGGTGGTGACAGTGCTGGGTCCCGGCAGCTCCAGGTGCCCACCTGGGACCATGTGGGCGCTTTCCAGGGCTGGCAGCACCGCTGGGGCTGCTCCTGGCTCCTCCTTGCCAGGCTCTGGTCCACCAGCCCCAGGGCCGCGGTGCTGGGGAGCGTGGGTGCCTGTGGGGCTCCGGGATGCACCTCCCAGGGGAAGCCACCTGCACTGGCTCGGCCCAGCAGGGGAGGAGTGCCCAGTCCTGCTGCGGCCCTGCGCTGGGGTAGCAGCATCCAGAACCAGCAGCGCCGTGGGGAGAGGCCGCGGTGCCAGGAGGGGTGCTCTGTGCTGGGCTGGCGTCCTGCGGAGTGCCACCGGCTGCGGGGCCCGGGCTGAGAAGGATGGGGGACAGCCAGGTAAGAGCCGGGTACCCCTGCTCACCTTCGTGCCCCTCCAGCACCCCTGCTCCAGGCAGGCACCCCCGGGACGTGCTCCCACCCTGCCAGCACAACCGGGGGGGTCCAAAAGGGGAATGGGCCCAGGAGCCCCCGGCACCACGGCCCCTGGCAGCTCCCGAGTGCCTGCAGGGTTAACATCCGCCTGCCTGTGACGTTGCAGGCAGGGAAGGCGACCGGGACACGGGGCTGCCGGGACACGGGGCCGCTTTCTCCCTGGGTCCAGGCCAGCTGCTGCTGCCGTACCGTGGCCCACCGGGACGGGTGGGTGAATGGGGAGGCCGGCACTGCCGCAGGCAGGACCCTGGCAGGCACCCACACTGCAGAGCTCTGCCCCACGGCATGGGAAGGATGTGGGCACCCGCGTCTGGGCCCTGGGGCACAGCAGGGATCTGCGGCTGTGCTGAGCCAGCCCTGACTGCGCAGCTCATGGGCTGCAGGGGGGGGGCACACAGGCAGCTGGACCAGGATTGGGGCCGGGGGCACACCAAGAGGCAGAAGGTGGTGCCAGGATGCATCCCAGCCCTGCTTACCCTTCTGCCCCAGGCCAAGGGCATGTCCGAGGCGGTGAACAGCTCCCTGACCACACACGTGCTGAACACGGCCACGGGGCTGCCGGCCGCCGGCCTTGCCCTCAGCCTGGCCCTGCTGCAGGAGCCGGGGCCGCAGTGGATGGAGCTGCTGCAGAGGTAGGAGAGCCAGCGACATGGGCAGGGGGTGCTGCTGCCTGCTCAGCCCTCGCACCAGGGCTAACGGTGGTCCACTGGTGATGGACAGCACTGCAGCAGGGCTCGCTGCTTCCCCTTCAGGTGCACGGATGAGGACGGCCGCTGCCAGCTCCTCCTGGCTCCAGGGCAGGCCAAGGCTGGCACCTACAAGCTGCACTTTGACACAGCAGCATACTGGCAGCGCCTGGGGCACGAGAGCTTCTACCCCTTTGTGGAGGTACAGAGTGGAGGGAGCAGGGGACAGGGGTCTGGCTGCTGTGGCTGAAGGTGCAGGGTTCGCGTGCCATGGCAACGTTTGCAGGAGCATCACACATGCTCCAAGCATCCCACCTGAGCCCCAGCATGGAGATTCCAGCTGCTGCCTCCTCACTCTGCCCTCCAGGTTGTCTTCATCATCACAGACCCGGCCAAGAAGCTGCACATCCCGCTGCTGATCAGTCCCTACTCCTACACAACGTACCGGGGGAGCTAGGGGACAAGCACAGCCTTTCTCTCTCAGGGACACAGGTCACTGGGGGGGAATTATGCCACCAACACCATTAAAGGCTTCAAACAGCAACATCTGTCTCCAAAATAAGTTGCTTTCCTGAATTCTGGAGGGGGAGAGGAGGAGAGCCCCAGGGCAGCACAGCCAGGGAGCCCAGTCCAGGAAATAAGGGGACCTGGGGGGGGTCCCTGCTCCCCACTCCAGCCTGGCTCTGGTAAGTCCTTTGTGCAGGCTGCCATCAGGTGGGTACAGCAACAAGTCCTGCAGGGCCCTGCCCCAGCATGGGGTTTTCCAGGGGCTTGAAGCCCAGATTGTCCAGAGGAATCCCAAAGGCTGTCAGCTTTGCCTCGAATGTCTGCAGCATGTCATTGTGTGCCTGCAAGAGAAGTGTCCTCTTGGTCAGCCCAAAGCCCAGCTCCAGGACAGCCCCTTTGTGCCTGGGTATGGGTTCCCTGTACCCCCGTCCACCAGGAGGGACCCCAACACACCTTCCTGTGCCAGGCAAACAGTAGGCTGAGCTGGGTCCTGCCTGCCCAGGGCATGAAGCTGCTCAGCTGGCCTGTTATGCATTCATTCCCCTTCACTCCAGGCAAGGCCTGGAGGAGAACATCCCATTTCCACACACCCCCACCTCCCCCCAAGCTGCAGCCATCACCCAACAGCCCCCATCCTGGAGGCAGGGGAACAGGGCAGCCCCATCCCCTTCCCTCACCTTGCAGACCCGCGCCAGCTGGAGCTGCAGGTCCTTGATGGTGGCATTCTTGGAGTTGAGCACATCCTGCAAAGGGAGAGGGTGCATTGGGCATGGCTGGGCTATCACCGGGGCCTCGCTCCATCAGAGATGCACACAGCAGGGCCTGGCAGGCAGCCACCAGCCTGTGCCCTCCGAGGCAGCGCTGCCAGGGACAGCCAGCACCAGGGGACAGAGACCTCCCACACCAACACCGCAAGTGCCAGCACAGCCCTGCCGTCATCTCTGCCCCTCTGCAAGGGGGACACAACAGCAGCGTGTGCTCTGGTATCACTGTCTTGCCATTGCGGCACCAGGGGGATTACAGGGAGAGGGGCTCCCTGAGGAGATGCTGGAAGCAGCTGAGCAAAAGAATTCCAGGACCCCAGCAGCTGCGGGAGAGCTTCCCAGGAATGTGTTTTCCTTCCTGCTGCTGTGTCACCTGCTAGCAGGAGACACATCCATCCTATGGCCCCAGGGCCTTGGCTGCTGCTGTGCCCATCCCCAGGGCACCCTTTGCAAGAGGGGGAACACAAGCATCACTGCTGCCCACCACAGAAAGCACTGGTAAGGGGACAGGCTGGTGCCAGATGAGCAAGAGGGTACCAGGATGGTGGCCAAGCCGAGCGTGGAGCCCACATCTCCTGCATCTCCACCCAACCCGAGTAAGTGCTGCTTCTCCGGTTACGTCTGCGGCAGGCTGCAGGAATGTGGGTCTCCCAGCCTCCACGCCAGGGCTTTCTGCACAGGTATTTTTAGCATGGCAGACTCTGCAGGGTGCCTGGGAACCCGTCTGCACCGTCTCTGCAGACAGGGAGGTCAGGCAGGGTCCCCCAGCTGTGACTCCCCATGCACAGGACACCCTGGGTCGCTGGTGGCCCTGTACGCAGCGGCTGCTTGGCAGCACCGTGCTGGTGAGCGCTGCTTGGCCTGGTGCCATTCTCCTCAAAACAGGCCCCACCTGAGGGACAGAGCAGTGCCAAACCCCGACACCCACGTGCTCTGCTCTCGAGGGAGAGCTGGAGTGCCCTGCGGCACCGTGCATGGTGCTGGGAGAGCCGGGAATGAGTGATGTGGCAGCTCCAGCCATGCAGGATGAGGGACTTGCAGGCTCCAAGGTCTGCATTCAACCCCAGGCAGCCTCTTTCCCCCAAGCCAGCCTTCACAGGTACCTCCAGCTTGTGCGAGACCAGGCTGAGGGCACCCTGGTCAAGCTTGGAGGCAGCAACGACCTCGCTGAGCTCCACTTCCTTTTTCTCCAGGATGTCACGGAGTCCCGTCAGCTTGCGCTCCAGGAACAGGTTCTTGAGCCCCGTCTTCTGCTGCACCTCATGAATGGCTTTGGTGAACTTCTGGTAAAGCTCATCTCGCTCCACTTGTACCTGCTCCCCAAAACACAGCCCACCTTCACAGCGTGCTCAGGACCCCTGGGAAAGGGCTTTTCCTGCAGCAGCTCAGCCCTGCTCCAGCAGGACCCTAGCTATTCCCTAAGGCACCGGAAGGCACGTGCTGCAGCATGGCTTCCTTCCCTCCCTCCCTCCCTCCCTTAGAGGATGGTACCTGCACTTCTGCTCCACCTCCTCTCTGGGCATGGGCCACCCCTGGGAGCCCAACGGGCTGAGGGACTGACTGAAGCTCTATTTTAGCCCTCAGAGAGGGCCCCACAGCACATGGGGGTCTCTCCTCCCCTTCCTGCAGCTGGCAGCAGTCCCTGCCTCACAGCTAGTTAGTAAGTGTCCTAATTAGGACACAATCTCTCCTCCAAAGCCTATTTCTGAATGCACTGAATATGTTGCTGCCTTAATGATGGATTGTTTAACGAGGCCTCAGATCAATGTTCATATTCCTGGGGATTTCTACGAATTGCAAATGAGCTTCCTTCTGCCTGCACAGATTTATCTGGGTTAGCTGCAGGGGGAAAGGCTGGGTCAGGAAGAACTCAGCTAACAGGACTCATCCTGGTATGACAAGCCATGTGGGAGAGACCCCTGAACACCACCAGGAGGAGGGAACCAGCTGGGCTTGGGCTGGTGGCCTGTGACAATCCCTCTGCCCCCAAGGCGCTGCTGTGGTCACAGTCCCGCCAGCCAGGCAGGGACCGCTGGAGCATGCATGATTGCTTAGCAAAGTACAAGGCCAGGCTTGTCTGCTGATCGTGGGAGAGGCCAAAGCTGGGAGAAGCTTTGTTGGCAGCAGCAGTTATCACACAGCTCTGGATTAGAGCTTTGGAAAGCCCTCGGCTATGCACTCTCTCCTGCTAAGCCCCTGTGCTCAGTCCCCTGCAGCAGGGACAGGGTTTGGAGAGGGAAGCGGAATGCCCAGACCCACGTGCATCTCTCACCTTCCTGAATCTCTGCTCCAGCACCTCATGTTCCCATTGAAGATCCTTCCATTCCTTCTGGGTGATTTTCAAATGGGCTTTTGCGTTCTGCAAGTGGGGACAGTTAAAGAGCAGGGGTTTCTCTGGGAGGTGTGGGAGATGTGTTCTGGCACAGGAGGAGAGTGGCCAGCAGAGACATGGTAGGAAGAGACAGGAAGCAGCACCCATGCCATCTCTCTGCCCTCTATTCTGGTTTCTCAGAGCTGTGAAAATCCCATCTGAGATCTCACAAGCACTCAGCCAAGCTGAAAGGGACTGGCTTTGCTCAGTGACCCAGGCAATCTGAGTGGCAGAGGTCAGCGCTGAGTGACTCCCTCCAGGAAAGCCAGGGCAGCTTGGGAATGGACAGGGCTGGCCACTCACCGTTAGGGCCTCCTTGTCCTTGTCATAGCGGACCAGCTTCTTCTCCAGCTCAGAGATTTGCTCCTGGGTCTGCTGCAGGGACTCATTCAGCTGCTTGTTCTGGAGCAGTGCATCTGCCTTCTCCCTTTCCAAGTGATCTGTTCTAATCTGCAAGTCCTCAATCTGCTCCTGTTCTTGGGAACACAAGTGCAAACTCCCAGGGGCTGCCCAGCTCCTCAGAGCTTCCCCCACTGTCAGACACGCTCCTGCTGCTGGCCCAGCAAGCACAGCTCCCCGGGCTGAAGAGCTTTGCTCATGTAACAGTGTACAACCTTCAGGAGACCAGCAGCACCCACACCACCGGCTGGGAACTGGCCAGATCCGGCTGAAATCCTCCCAGGACCACCCCCATGGTGGCAGGGTGGCACTCTGCAGGCCAGGCTGGTGGCAGCAGGGGGGCTGGCAGTACCTTCAGCAGGCTGATGAGCTCCAGGTTTTTAAGGGTGATGTCGTTGTAGTAGTTCTTCATGTCATCAAAGGCCTTCTCGTGGTTCCTCATCAGCTGACTGATGTGGCTGTTCTTCCTCTCCTCCACCTCATGGATCTCAGTCTTCCTTCGCAAGTCGAGCTCGTTCCGCAGCACATGCATCTTCTCAGTGTACCTGGCCTCGATCTCTGGGGGAGAGCAGAGGAGCTGGGTGAGGCCCTCCTGCAGACCCTGCAGCACCAGGCTGAGGACGAGGCCCCTGTTAGCAGCATCACCACAGCGGCCACCAGCCTGAGGAGCACGCAGAGCAGAGCCCAGAAGTAGCATTCTTGGAAAGAGGGCATGGAAAAGCTCCAAGTCAGCCTGTGAGAAACCTGAAACGTCCCCCGAGGAGGTCGGTGGAGTGAGGACTCTGCAAGGACTCCTCCAGCCACCTCATTGCATGGAGAAGATCTCCAGCCACAGGTGCCCTGCCTGCACCCTGCAGCCCACAAGACAGGCATCCGGTCTTACTCTGTTTGTGTGATGCTGGGGGTCTGCAGAACTGGCCAGAACTACGGAAAACCATCCCCCCTTTCTACTCGAGGCTGTGGTGGGAGGCTCAGAGGAGCCTTCCCCAGTGCACTGACAAAGGGAGCTCACACACATCCTGACCTCTCACTTGTCTCTCAAAGTCGTTGCACAGCCGAGTGATCTCCTGCTCTTGTTTCTGTTAGGGAGAAACCACGTGTTAGAAACAGACAACCAAATCCTCAGTCAGCCACATCCCGAGGGATTCCCTCCTGCTCCCTGGGAAAGGCTCCTGCCGTGGCACCGATCCCACGTTACCCATGCAAACAGCATCTCATAGGTTCTCCAGCTGCTCTCCCAGCTCCCTCCTCCTCTTCACAGGAGTTGCCCCAGAATCCCTCTTCCCTGTTCCTGCACTTCCCAGTGCCTTCAAGTGCATCTGTTACTGGTGCGTGTGGAATTCCCCATCCCACCCCACCGAGAGAGCCAGGGAGGCCCCTGCTCACATCCTGGGGCTGGGAGCACTCAGCCTGCAGCCCCACCATCTCCCTGTGCAGCAGAGGCACCTCACACACAGCTCCAGCCCAGCCGGGGACATACCAGGTCCTTGTTTTTCACCACCGCCTCGATGGCCAGCTCCTGCTCCTTCAGCTCCGCTTTCAAGGGCCATGTCTCTTTCTGCATCTCCATCTCCTGGGCCCAGTGTTCCTTCTGGGCCAGCTTCAGGGAGAGCATGCCCCCTGCCTTCAGCTCAGTGAGGTTTTCCTGGTGTTCATGCATCAAGTGCTTCACCTTCTGCTTGTAAACCTAAAGACAAGCCACAGACCAGGTGACGGGCTTCAGCAGGAGACACCCAGATGCTCCTGGATCACATCCTACCCAGCTCCTCCTCCTCTTCCCTCTCCTCCTCAGGGCTGCCTGAGGCTCACCCCGAGCACCTCCCAGCCCTCTCCTGTCCCACCTTGATCTCCACTTGGTGCCGCTCCTCCGCCTCCTCCATCTGGCGGTCCTTGCTGCGCAGCTCGGCTTTCTTCTCCTCCAGCTGCCGGCGGGTGATGTCCCAGAACGTGTGCATCTTGTCACGCTCCAGCTGGAAGTAGTTGCGCTCTTCCCGCTCCCGGTCCAGCTCCTCCCGGAGACGCAAACAGAGCTTCTCCAGCTGCAAAGGGGAGAGGAAGAGTTAGGGACGGGGGCAGAGAGGTCTCAGAGAGGTGCCTTTGCAAGACATCCATGGCAAACTGTGTTGCAAACCTGGCAGGACACAGTGGCAGTTACTGGGATAGAGAGGAGCAGGAGAGAAATGGAGGACCCCTGACCCACCCTGGGCTTGACAGAACCCATCAGGCTCTGGAAAAGCAGTAATACAAACTTATCCTACTGTAGACAGCCTGAGCTCAGGTATTTTGAGTATTCATGTCCAGTAATACCATTCTCAGGTGCCTAAATACTCCTGAATTATAGAATCATAGACTCATTTAGGTTGGAAAAAGGCTTTGAAATCATTGAGTCCAACCATTAACCCAGCAGTGCCAAGTCCACCACTAAACCATGTCATGAAGTGCCATGCATTTTTTAAATACCTCCACCACTTCCCTGGACAGCCTGTTCCAGTGCTTGACAACCCTTCTGGGGGATAAATTGTTCCTCATATCCAATGTAAACCTCCCCTGACACAACTTGAAGATGTTTCCTCTTGTCCTACCCTTGTTACTTGGGAGGAGAGACTAACCTTCACCCCATTACATCCCGTCAGGATTTTGCAGAAAGCAGTAAGATCTCCCCTCAGCCTCCTTTAGTCCAGGCTGAGCAGTGCCAGGTCCCTCAGCCGTTCCCCATCACACCGTGCTCCCCATCACACCAGCTCCGCTGCCCTTCTCTGGCCCCACTCCAGCACCTCAATGTCTCTCTTGTAGTGAGGGGCCCAGAACTGAATACAAGATTCAAGGTGCAGCCTCACCAGTACTGATTATCACTGGCCTAGTCCTGCTGGCCACACTAGTGCAGATACAGGCCAGGATGCTCTTCGCCATGTGGGCACTGCTTGCACCAAGATGTCTAAGACCTTACTGCAGGAGCGAGGTCCCCAGGCCAGGACCACCGCCTCTTCTGTTTCTATGATACCCAGCAACACAAGAGGGATTTGAAGCAACGGAGGGGCAGCAGCTGCACCTTCTCCCTCTGCCTGCCCTCCCCATGACTACGTGAGCCTCCTGCCCTGGGAGCAATGGGACCAGGAGTGCAGCAGGCTGCAGTCACAGAGTTCTGGACTGAACCATCACCCAGATGCTGGGGTTATGCAGTCAGGAAGAAGGCAGCAAGGACACAGGGCTAGAGAGCAGAGCACCCCAGAGTAGTGGCAGGGAGGGTAGGATGAGGTGGCTGCTCCTTCCTTTCCCACCCTTAGCCCAGACAGGCGTTAGGCAGCAAAAGGAACCCAGCTGCTTGTCTCCATCACTCTCAGCCACCTGTTGTCCCCAGAGACAGGCACTGAGCAGGGGTCCTGAGAGCAATGTCCTCCTTCCCAGGGGTGGGCTGGGAGATGGGGTGTCTCTCACCTCCCCCTTACTCATGTCCTCTGGTGCCAAGGCATACTGCACTGCTGGACCTTTGCTCGCAGCCCCTTTTTTCCTGACATTCTTTTTGGGTGCCTAAGGAAAGATAAAAAATTCACAGAATCAGAACGGTTTATGTTGAAAGAGACCTTAAAGCTCATCCAGCTCCAACCCCTGCCACAGGCAGGGACCCCTTCCACTGGAGCAGCTTGCTCCAAGCCCCTGTGTCCAACCTGGCCTTGAGCACTGCCAGGGATGGGGCAGCCACAGCTTCTCTGGGCACCCTGTGCCAGCGCCTCAGCACCCTCACAGGGAAGAGCTTCTGCCTAAGAGCTCAGCTCAGTCTCCCCTCGGGCAGGTTCAAGCCATTCCCCTTGTCCTGTCCCTACAGGCCCTTGTCCCAAGCCGCTCTCCAGGTTTCCTGCAGCCCCTTTAGGCACTGGAGCTGCTCTAAGGTCTCCCCTTCAGGAGCCTTCTCTTCTCCAGGCTGAACGGGCCCACACAGGAAGCCCCTGGCAGGGGGCAGATGAGGAGCGCAGCGGAGAGCGATGGAGCCGGGGAGGCTTCTGAGGCGTTCGCGACCCTCCCAGGAGCGGACCAGGCCTCCCTGCCCGCACCACCCCCCCCGGTGCCCGGGACCCTCCAGCACCGGTCCCGGGCCCGCTCCCGCTCTCACCATGGCGGCTGCCGCCGGCGCCGCAGTCTCCAGGCAACGGCGGAGAAGATCTCGCGAGAGGAGCGCGCCCGCTCGGACACGCCCCCTAGCAACGCGGCGCTCCGCCCTAGCAACGGCAGCGGGGCCTGCTCCGGACCGGGCCCGGCGGGGGCTCTCCGGTGTGACCGGCCCCGGCGCCCCTCCGCCACACCGGGAGCAGCGTTGCGTTCCCTCGCCCCGGTCCCGCCGCTGCTCCCCCCCCCCCCGCAACCCTGCACCGGCGCTCCCCGTGTGTATGTGTGTGTGTGTGCGTGACCCAGGTGTCCTCCGCACCTCGGACCCAGTCTCCTCCGCACCCCCGGTTCAGCCGTGCCTCCCCCCACCCCTTCCCGTTCCCTCCCCTCCCGGTGTCCCCGGTCCCGACTGGGCCGATCCGCCCCTGACCACCCCCCGGCCCCCGCCCCGCCCCCGGCCCCGCCCCCGCCGCGGCGGGCAGGACCGTGCGGGCTGCGGGCTGGCACCGGGCCCGCCCCGCCCAGCACCGGCACCGGCACCGGCCCATGGCGGCTCCGGGAGCGGCCGACACCGCAGGTGAGGCAGCGGGGGAGAAGGGGGGGGGGGGGGCGGATAACGGACCGGCGCGCCCGTCACCGCGGCCTCGGCCCGGGCGGCTCTGAGCCTGCAGCGGGCGGAACCGGGCCGGGCCCCGCGGGGCGGGAGAGAGGGGGGGGGGCCGGGGTGCATGGAGAGATCTAGGACGGGAAGGGGGGGGAAGAGGGGTGTGTTAACGGGGGTGTGTGCAAGGGGGTGTAACGGGGGTGTGTACGCGGATGCAGGGGGATGCGGGGCGCCGGGGGGCGGCTACGGAGGGGTGCGCGTGGAAGCGGGGCGCAGACGTGCACGGGGCGTGCGTGTACAGCCGGGTGCGGGTGCACGGGGCCCAGCTGGGGGTGCCCGGGCGCTGGGGTGGGGACCGAGAGGCTCGGGATGGGGACAGGGGGGTTCAGGGGGAGCCTGGGATGGGGGAGCAACGGGGTGCCCAGGGGGTGCAGGGGTTCAGTGGGATGTCCAGAGGACAAGCGGCAGCAGCGGGATGTCCGAAGGATGTAGGGGTGCAGCGGGGTGCCAGGCCGGGGTTTGTGGTGCTGGTGGCAGGCTGAAGCACAGGGGAGGACCGCGCAGAGCCCCGGTACAGACGTGCCGGTGCTGTAGGAGGGGTGTGGAGGGCTGGGTGGGTGCTTGGGAACAGGGTAGTGGCAGCACTGGTGGGTCCCCGGTATTACAGAGGGCTGCGGCAGGTCTCTGGATGGTGACACAGGTGGCTCCCGCACACACCATTGCCACCCACAAGTGCCCTGCATTACGGTTGCACCGCGGCCCCCCTCCCGGTGGCAGCCCCGGGGCACCAAAAGTTTGGCAGCCGGGCAGGGCTATCGGGATAGGGCAGCGGCTGGGAGCGGGGCCGCCGCCGGTGGGGTGGCTGAAGCCGGCTACGGCTGGGCTCTGCAGTTTAACGTGAGTCAGCAGAGCGGCTGTGGCAGCGGCAAGGGAACCCTGACACCGGCCCCGCTCCTCACAGGCAGCCGGTGAGCCCAGGCTGGAGCGGGGCGGCGTGGCCGGTGTCGTGGTGTGACCATGCAGGCGGAGGCCCGCGGGGATTTCTGCGGCAGGGAGCAGTGCCCCGGTGGGTGGGGATGCAGGGGGCTGCCGGTGGCGGGGGGGGGACACACTCCATAGGGTGACAGCACCGTGTCACCCACCGGTGCTGGGTGGTGGGGTGGTGAAAATGGGCAGGAGCAAGCAGCACCTGGGATCCCATGGGAAATCTTCCCAGCTTTGGAGTGGGGTGAGGACCCTATTTCCCGACTGGAAGGTGCTGGGAGTGTGGGGTACCAGGTCTATCCCACCTTGTGGGGTCAGGATGTGGTAGAGCCAGTACTGGGGCACAGGCATCCTGCAGCTCAGTGTGTCAGAAAAAGGAACTTAACACCCCACAATGTCCCTTTCCCCATCCCAGCTCTTTTTTCTATCCCCTGTCCCACTGTCACCATCCTGGGAGGTCACCATCCAAGGAGATGCCTAGCCCATGGTGAGCCCATCGCTGTGCTGTCTCACCCAGCGATGGCAGAGCCCGATGGCACATGGTGCCAGGGTGCAGTTGGGTCCATCCTCCTCCAGCACCAACCTTGGGGTGGGCCGGGGGTCCGGGTGCTGCTGCAGTGGGCTCACGGGGTTTCCTGCCCTCCCTCGGTGTCCATCACCATGCCACCACCGCAGGCAGACAAGCCGCCCTTGTCTGGGCTCCGGCACAGGCTGCGCTTTTGTCTCTCCGACACAAAGGGGCTGCTCGGGGCGGGGGGCACGGGGCTGTGGCTGCCAGCACATGGCCCTGGGCAGCTCTGCCTGTCCCACCGGGGGAGGCCGCTGTCCCCGTCCCCGTCCCCCCCAACCGGGCTGCCCGTGAGGGCTGGTGGTGCCTTGGGATGGAGCTGTCATCACCGATGTGACACATACCGGAACCGCAGAGCTCGGCAAGGAGACTCTGGTCCCGGAACGCCCGGCGGGGACCCCCACCCATGCGCCAGCACAGCAGCCCCCCGGAGCCCCCACCGAGGAGCAGGGCAGCATTCCCATCCCCAGCGCTGGCCTGCTGCAGGTCACGGAGCGCCGACGTGAGTGTGGCCCTGCCTGTCCCCAAGGTCCCCTGCCTGCTTTCGGCGTCTCTTGCCAGCCCCTGGGGTCCGCTGCCTACCCTTGATGTTCTTGACAGCCCGTGCATCCTCTTCCTGTCCCTGAGGTTCCTTGACAGCCTCTGGGATCCCCTGCCAGCCCCAAGGGTCCCTTGCTTGTCCCTGGGGTCCCCTGCCTGCCCTCAGCACCCCTTGAGGTTCTTGCCAGCCCCCCCAGTCCCCAGGCAGCCCCAGCCGGTCCTCTTCCCCCACCGACCCCGTTATCCTCCCTGAGCACCAGCCCCCCCTACCCTCTCCCCGGCTGCCCCCCAGCGCCGCCCGCCCCTCCTCGTGGCGCCGGGCCGGGCAGCGGGCAGGTCCCGAAGCGCGGCCACCGTCCGCAGAGCCCCTGAGCAGCGTCTCCTCGCTGGAGGTGCACTTCGACCTGCTGGACCTGACCGAGCTGACCGACATGTCGGACCAGGAGCTGGCCGAGGTCTTCGCCGACTCCGACGAGGAGAACGCGGCCGGGGAAGCGCCCGGTGGTGAGCGAGGGGCCGGTCCTGGTCCCATCCCGCTCCCAGGTCGGTGCACCCGCCTGAGCCTCCCGTCTGTCCCGCAGGGCTGCAGCCGGTGCCGCGGGCCGGGTACCTCCGCTCGCCCTCCTGGACCCGAGCGCGGGAGCAGGGCAGGGAGAAGAAGCACCTCAGCGACCCGGAGCTGCCGCCGGGACCCCCGGACGCCTTCCTGCCCGCCGACCGGCCGCGGGAGCCGTAGGGACGGACCCGGCCCTGGGGGACGGCCCCGTGGACCCGCTGGGACCGGCCGCTTCGTTCGGACACCGCTGGAGCCCGCCCCGGGCCGCAGGACTGTCAGCGGGGATGGGCCGCGGGGAGAAGCGGCCCGCAGTCCCAAGGGGGGGCCCGGTGGACCGGTGCCCCCACAGACCCGCAGCGGAGCGCGGCCGGTGCCGAGGCCTGCCCGGTTCTCATGTAGCAGTGCCGTGTTCCGGTAAAACCGAGCCACCCACCACCGCCGTGCCTGCGCCCGTCTCCGCCGCTGCTGGGGAGGGACACGGGACTCCCGCACCAGGAGGGTGCGGAGCCGGCCAGGGGAGGGGGTAGGAGAGGTAGCCCGGCCCGTACCGGTGCGGCGCTGCTTTGCCCCGCCAATGGCACCGGAGGCCCCATCCCGCTGCCCGCCCCGTCCCTCCGCGCCAAAGCAGGGACACGAGTGCTGTGTTGAACAGAGGCTCGTTGATGCTACAGGAAACCCGGGTGTTGTCCCCGACTTAGCAGTGCTATCCCAGTAACGTGTGTCCGTGGAAGAGGGCTTCCCTTGGCTCCCGCCGCCCTGCCCAGCCCGTGGGAGCTCGGCTCAGGCTGGTCGTGGTGCAGCGGCGGCTCTGGCTCTGCCAGTAACACTGTCCCATAACACAGGACCCCCGCCTTGCCTGCACCCGCCCCTGCCCCTGAGCTCCAGGCACTTCTGCTGTGGGTGGGATCAGTGCTGGGAGCTGCTGTGGGTCACCAATGGGGTCCTGTTTCCCCCTCTGAGGGGCAGCTGGGGTCTGCAGTGACCCCCCCACACCCCATCCCCTCTCATCCCTCAGGGCCCCCAGCGCTGCTGTCCCCACAGGCAGAGGGTCCTGGAGCCAGGAGCCACCCTGGCGCCCAAGCACCTGGGGGGTGCCTATGTCTGTCTCAGGGTGCCATGGGGTGGCCGTGGGGCCCAGCTCCCCCCATCAGGGCTCTGCCTCCATGGTGGAGTCCTGGAAGAGGGACTGCTTGCGCAGGCTCAGCCGCGCGCACTTGGGGCAGGTGGTGGAGTTGTCGTAGTAGCAGTCCCTGTGGGGAGGGGACAGCAACGGTCACCCCACACTGTGTAACCCCCCCCCAGTGCCGCGGTCACGGCCACCCCTGTGTGTGCCGTACCTGTGAAAGACGGCGGAGCAGTCAGTGCAGACCGAGGTGTGGCTGTCGAAGGGGAAGAGGACGTCGCCCTCCTTGCAGAGCTCACAGACGAACCCTTTGGCCTGGCAGCGCTGGGGCAGGAGCACAGAAGGTCCCAAAGCTGCCCTAAGGGGACCCCACCATCCACCCCAGCACGGTGCTGGCCCCACAGGAGCCACGCTGTGGGTCTGCCCCATGGCTCACCTCGCAGTCCAGCTTGATGTGCTTGGCAAAGAGGGTGTGTATCTCAGTGAGGGAGCAGCTCAGGCGCCCGGCCTCGATGTCAATGAGGTCCTGCAGCGAGTACATCTCGTCGTTCTCCACAAAGTGCTGCCGGTCCTGCAGCTGCAGGCAGGGAGCCTGTCACTGCTGTGCCCATCACTGCTGCACCAGGCTCCTGACCCCCCTCACAGTCCCAGGGTCCCCCCAGCTCCGTCTCGACCCCTGGGCCTGACCTGCAGCAGCAGTCGTGCCTCCATCGCCTCCTTGCAGGTGATGAAGTAGGGCTTCATGAGCAGGATGTCCTGGCGCAGCTTCTGTGGGGGGACAGGGCAGGAGGGAATGGGAATGGGGATGGGAGTGGGCACAAGATAGAAAAGGTTGGTGGCAGAAGCAGTATGGGGACAGGTACAGGGATGAGATGGGGACGGTGTAGGAATAAGACAGTATGAAGATAAGAGATGGAGATAGGGGTGTGACAGGGACAAGTCAAGCGCAGTCAAATTCAGACCTGCAGCAGTTTGGGCACCCGCTGTCCTGACCCCCGCCCCTACCCTACCCCACCTCTGTGGGACCCAGCAGGTGCTGACAGGGTCCCCCTCTCCCTCCTGCTCACCCCATGCTCCCTCTGCTGCCCACCCTGCCCAGCCCCAGCCCTTCAGGGTAGGGTCGGGTGCTACCCCCCCATCACTCACCCTGATCTCCACCAGCTCCTCCACGTAGTTGAAGAGCAGTGGGTTGATCTCCCGCAGCTTCAGCACAGGCCGTGACACCATCAGCGCCAGGTACCTCATGCTGCAGCGCGACACCTGCGCGTCCGCAGCCACTGTCACCCCATGGCCACTGGGCCCCGTCCCCAGGGACAAAACTCTGGGGACACAGCCCCCACTAAGTGACCTCTATCTACCCAGCCATACAGTCCCCAGGGACCCCCATGATGAGGGATGGGGCCCTACAAGTGATGTCCACCCATTGATGCAGGTCACAGCCCCCAGGGTGGCCCCCAGTCCCCTCCCAGGGCACCTTGCGGGGCTCGAAGTCCCAGTTGTGGATGGCGCGGGCGGGCACAACGGCCAGGTCGTTCCAGTGGCAGCTGCTGCAGTAGTAGAGGCCGGTGTAGTCGCACTGCCGGGCCTCGCTGGGCACCCCCCCTGCGGCGGCACGCACCGGCACACGTTGGCACAGGTACTGGCACCGGTGCTGCACCATGCATTGCTCACCCCATGTCATATCCTTCCATGGACACACAGCAGCATCCCAGGCGTCACTTTCCCATGCACTGTGAACCCCCCAAGCCCTGCACAGCCAAGAGCCCCCCATCTCCCCATAGCTCCCAACCATTCACAGCACCCAGAGCCTCACCCTTCAGCTCCACCCCAACACCCTGCACCCCCAAAAGAAGCCCAGCCCCACACATCCCCCACACCCCAGCCCCAGACAGCTCCCCCTAGCTCCATAAAGCCCTCAAGGGAGCCCAACCGCACACAACCCCAGACCCACCGTGCCCCAGCCCCATGCAGTATCACACTCCCCAGCTCCACACATCCCCATTCCTCAGCCCCAGCTGCCCCCAGCTCCACAGAGCCCCCCCACACAAGGGGGACTCCATCCCCACACAACCCCAACCCCGCTGTGCCCCATACAGGCCCCAGAGGAGCCCAGCCCCACACATCCTCCATCCCCCAGCCCCATCGGCGCAGCCTCACGGAGGGAGACGGGGGCCCGGCACTCGGCGCAGCGGTAGTCCTGGCTGTCCAGCCCGCTCTCGGGGCAGATGCTGAGCTGGTACTCGGCCTGATGGCTGACCTTGGCCCGCACACAGGGCTTGCTCACCAGCGGCAGGCACTTGCTATGGCACCGGTAGTAGCAGCCTGGAGGGGACACAGCTGGACGTCAATGGGGGGGGGGGACATGGGATGGATGTGGGGGCTCCCGGGGGTCCCAGCCCCACCTGTGCAGGTGTACCAGGTCTGGATGAGGCCCCAGATGATGGTGCTGCACTTGTCACACATCTGCTTCACGCTCTTGCTCTTCTCCTTGTAGAAGCGATGCTCCAGCACCACCCGGATGTTGGGCTCATCCTCGCCGGGGTCCTGCGGGTGCATGCGGGGCTGTCGGAGCGCGCCCGGGTGTCCCCACACCAGCGACACCTCCCGCGGTGCCCCGGTCCCGGCCGCACCTTCAGCTCCTGCAGCTTGAGGCGGAGGTGGATGAGCCGCACCACGGCGTCCTTCTGCTGCTCCGAGTGCTCAGGCAGCGCCAGGATCACCCGCTTGCACTCCTCGATGGCCTGGCGCAGCTGATGCACGTCCGACGCCAGGATCAGGCCCTGCGGCACGGCGGGGACCAGCAGGGTGAGCCCGCAGCGCGCACCCCGCGCCCCCACAGCCCCGCTCCCCCCCGGCCCCGCGCACCACGGGGCGGGAGAAGTGGTCCTCGGCCAGGCCCAGGTCCAGGGCGCTCTCGGGGTCCCCCGAAGACGGGTCCAGCCGCTGGCCTGCAACGGGGCCAAGCGCCAGCGGGTGCCGGTGCCGGTGCCGGTACCGGGCCTGTGCCGAGCGCGAGGGGGGCGGTGGGGGTGTCAGCACCCACCTGGGTCCGGGTCCCCCCCGTCGGGCCGCTCCGGCGGCGGCGGCTCGGAGGCCTTGTCGAAGGGGTTGAGGTGCGCCTGGCGGAAGCGGGCCAGCCGCTCGTCGTACGCCATGGCCCTGCGGGACGCGGCCGCCGCCTCAGCCACGCACCCTCACCGGCAGCGGCGCCGCGGACAAACCCGCCCCTCGCCGCCCCCGCCCTGCCCCGCTCGGTCCGCACCGCCCCATCCCGGCACACACCCCCCCCCCCCCCCCCCCGCACGGCCCCCGGTACCGGCACCGCCCGCCGGATCCCGCCCGCCCGCCAGGGGGCAGCACCGCTCCCTCGCTCACGCCCCGCTGCCCCGCCCCGCCGCGCTGCCGCCCCCTGGCGGCCGGCGGATCACACCGCGCCCGGGCGGGGCCCCCGCAGGGTGGGGGCACACGTGGGACACAGCGGGGACGCGGCGGCGAGACCCCACGGGCACGGCCCCGACACCCAGGTCCGCAGAGCCCCAGAGCGCCCAGCCCACGGCGAGCGGTCCCTATAGCCCCCAGACCATAGCTCCTGGTCCCTATAGCTCCCACCGCGGTACACCCAGCCCCATAGCTCTTTGTCACTATAGCTCCCACCCCGACAGACCCAGCCCCCTAGCTCTTTGTCCCTATAGCCTCCACCCTGATAGACCCAGCCCCATAGCGCTTTGTCCCTATAGCCTCCACCCTGATAGACCCAGCCCCATAGCGCTTTGTCCCTATAGCCTCCACCCTGATAGACCCAGCCCCATAGCGCTTTGTCCCTATAGCCTCCACCCTGATAGACCCAGCCCCATAGCGCTTTGTCCCTATAGCCCTCACCGCTACAGCCCGCAGCCCCATAGCTCCCACCTCTACAGCCCTCAGCCCTCCCCCGTGATCCCGCAGCACAGCCCCTCTCCCCGCGGGGACCCCTGGGGGGCTGCAGCAAATCCCGGCCCCGCACTCTGGGTTCAGCCCAGCACCCAAGCAGGAGCTGGGGGGTTTAGCATTGTTTGGGGATGTCCTGGATCCCCCAGACCCCCGCACAGCCCTGGGGCAGCACCGCGGGGTACGTGCCCCCAGCTCGGTTTAGGGGGACAAAGGACCAACACGGCCCTGGCACAGTAGTGCCTGTACGGAGCATCCCCCCCACTGCATGGAGAAGGATGACAGTGGGGACAAAGGCACAGCCGGGCAAGGCAGCACCCACACTCCAACCCCAGATCTGTGGGGCAGGAAGGTGGGGGACACTGTCATGGCCTGGGCATGTGGGGTCCCCCTAACCCTCTGCGATGGGCATGGCTGTGGGGGCTGCGCCCCTGGGAGCAGAGGGTGCCCCCCCCCCGAGGCACAGGCAGGAGGTACCTGGACAGCAATAAATTTATTGAGTATTCAAAAAAATAAAAGACACGACCCAGTAAAAAAAAACGAAAAGGGGGGAGGCGGGGGGGGGGGGGGGGGGGGCCGAGCCGGCTCAGGGGGGGGGGATGGGGTCAGGAGACACTGAAGGGGTGCGGGGGTGCAGCAGCGCGAAGCCAAGGGGGGCTGCGGGCGGCAGAGGGGGGCATCGGGCATCACTTGGTGCCCTGCGCCTCTGACTCCTCCTCGTCGTCCTCGTACATCTCGCCCTCCTCCTCGGCCGTGGCGTCCTGGTACTGCTGGTACTCGGACACCAGGTCGTTCATGTTGCTCTCGGCCTCGGTGAACTCCATCTCGTCCATGCCCTCTCCGGTGTACCAGTGCAGGAAGGCTTTGCGGCGGAACATGGCCGTGAACTGCTCCGAGATGCGCTTGAAGAGCTCCTGGATGGCCGTGCTGTTGCCGATGAAGGTGGAGGACATCTTCAGCCCCCGCGGGGGGATGTCGCACACGGCCACCTTGACGTTGTTGGGGATCCACTCCACGAAGTAGGAGCTGTTCTTGCTCTGGATGGCCAACATCTGCTCGTCCACCTCCTTCATGGACATGCGGCCCCGGAAGACGGTGGCCACGGTGAGGTAGCGGCCGTGGCGGGGGTCGCAGGCAGCCATCATGTTCTTGGCATCAAACATCTGCTGGGTGAGCTCGGGCACGGTGAGGGCGCGGTACTGCTGGCTGCCGCGGGCCGTCAGCGGCGCAAAGCCCGGCATGAAGAAGTGGAGGCGCGGGAAGGGCACCATGTTGACCGCCAGCTTGCGGAGGTCGGCGTTGAGCTGACCGGGGAAGCGCAGGGAGGTGGTGACCCCGCTCATGGTGGCCGAGACGAGGTGGTTGAGGTCGCCGTAGGTGGGGGTGGCCAGTTTGAGGGTGCGGAAGCAGATGTCGTAGAGAGCTTCGTTGTCGATGCAGTAGGTCTCGTCCGTGTTCTCCACCAGCTGGTGGATGGAGAGCGTGGCGTTGTAGGGCTCCACCACCGTGTCCGACACCTTTGGGGATGGCACCACGCTGAAAGTGTTCATGATGCGGTCGGGATACTCCTCCCGCACCTTGCTGATGAGGAGGGTGCCCATGCCCGAGCCGGTGCCACCGCCCAGCGAGTGGGTCAGCTGGAAGCCCTGCAGGCAGTCGCAGTTCTCACACTCCTTCCTCACCACGTCCAGCACCGAGTCCACCAGCTCGGCCCCCTCCGTGTAGTGCCCCTTGGCCCAGTTGTTCCCGGCCCCGCTCTGCCCTGCCGAGGTGGGGAAAAGAGGCACCGATGGCTGCCGGCTCCCCGGTGCCCACGCCAGGGAGGGGACGGGGCGCTGCCGGCGGCGGCATCGGTGAGATCTGAGGCCCGGGTGGGGTGGGAAGTCGGAACTGCAGAGGTTTGGCAGCGAACCGGCTGTGCCAGGCCCTGCGGCGAGGGAGGGCACCGAGTGCCCCAGGCACAGCGATGGCCCGGGAGGGGAATGGGGCCGCGGGTGTCAGCGTCCCCCCTGCCCAGGGACCTACCAAAGATGAAGTTGTCGGGGCGGAAGAGGTGTCCGAAGGCGCCCGAGCGCACGCTGTCCATCGTCCCCGGCTCCAGGTCAACCAGGATGGCGCGAGGCACATACTTGTGAGCTGCGAGAGAGCCCGTGCCGGGGGGGAACCTGCTGCTGACCTCCAACCCACGCTCATCATGCAGGGTCCCACGGGGCTGGGTGCGTGTGTTGTGTCCCCCCCCGAACCATGGGGTCCCATGGGGCTAGGTGCGTGTGTTGTGTCCCTCAGGGGCTCACTTGTGTCCATCCACCCCCCATAATGGGGGTCCCCCAGGGCTGGATGCATGGTTCCCCCCCCCCGAACTATAGGGCTCCAAGGGTGGGATGCACGTGTCCCTGCTCCCCTCCCCGGGGGCTGGGGGCATGTATCTTGCATGTATCTCCCCCCCCCCCCCCCCAACCTGCCCCACCCTGCAGATCCGGGCACTGGGGAGAAAGGGATATGGGGGCTCCCCCCAGGCCCAAGGTGGGGGTGCGGGGGTGCCCTGCCTGAGGGATGTCCCGGGGCGCTGTGTGTCGCTTACAGGAGGCCTCATTGTAGTAGACGCTGATGCGCTCCAGCTGCAGGTCCGAGTCACCCACGTAGTTGCCGCTGGGATCGATGCCGTGCTCGTCGCTGATCACCTCCCAGAACTGGGGGGGGGGACACAGGGATCAGGGGGTGGCACCGGGTACCGGCGGAGGGGCACAGGGACCTGGGGGAGCCCTCATCATCACCCCTCCCACACCCACCCGCGGGGCAGCGCGGGGCGCCCCCTGGCGGCGGGGCGGGCAGGGCGCTGTCCGCGGTGCTGAAGGGCGGACAAAGGCGCGGGGCGGGAGGAGGGGGGGAACGGGCGGGGCTCTTTGTCCTCCCGGTGCGGCGGGAGCGCGGGTGGGGGGCAGCGGAACGGGGGGAGGTCTTTGTCCGCCGCCCGGCTCCGCAGCGGCGGGGCGGGGCCGCCGTTACCTTGGCGCCGATCTGGTTGCCGCATTGCCCCGCCTGGATGTGGACGATCTCCCTCATGGTGCTGCCGGGCCGGGTCGGAACAGGATGGGAGCGGGACCGGGAGCAGGACCGGGAACAGGAGCAGGAGCGGCACCGGGAGCGCGGGGGGCGGCCCCGCAGCCACCGCCTCCTTTATAGGAGCCTCGCGCCGCACCGGGCCGGGCGCTGACGTCACCGAGGCTCCGCAACCAATCGGCAGCCGCCGCCGCAGCGCTGCAACAGCCCTGCGGCACCGGCACCGCCGCCCGCCCCGCCCCGCCCCGCCCCGCCCCGCCCGGGGACCCCGGCACCGCGGGCACCGGCGGGGGGGACCCCGCACCCGGGCCACGGAGCCGCCCCGGTACCGCAGGGGGACCCCGGCACCCACGGGAGGGGACACGCGACACGAACCGGCCACAGGGACCACGCAGCAGCGGCGGGAGCGCCGGAGGGGGGGTGACATCCCCCAATCCGCGTCCTGCCGCGGGTGGGGGAAGAGGCAGGGCCCGGGGGGGGGGGGGGGGCCGCTCCGGGGGGTCCCGGGTGCCAGGAGCATCCCCCCGGGGCCGGCCGGGCGGTGGCGGGCGCGGCCCGAGAACAAAGGCGGCGGTGAGGGGCGCTTTGTCCGGGCTGTGCCCCGCACCGGGAGCGGCCCCTGCGCCCCGCCGGCCGCACCCTGCCGCAAGGCCCCGGTGCCGGTGCAGGTGGCAAACGGGAGGGATCGAACTTGGAAGAGACGGTGGGGCCGGAAAGCGGTCCCCGGGGAGCTGCACGGCGGTGCCAGCCACGGCATCAGTGCAAAGAGCCTTTATTGGGAACCGCGAGTCCCTGAGCCCGCATCGGATGCCAGAGCTGGAAACCCCGCGGTGCATCCCATCTCATCCGTCCTTCTGTCCCGTGGCGGGGCGGCTGGACCATTATCGGTGTCCCACTCCCTACCAGGAGCACAGCACCATCTCCCGCAGCGTCCGCCGAAGCTCCTGGCTCCGGAAGGCATAGATGAGGGGGTCAATCACAGAGTTGCAGATAATGAGGATAAGGAAGAGGTTGAAGTAGCTGAAAAAGCAGGTGCAGAAGGGGTTGGTGGGGCAGGTAACGATGAGGATGAGGTGGAAGAAGAAAGGGCCCCAGCAGATGAAAAAGACTCCCAGGAGGATGGTGAGGGTGACGGCTCCTTTGAGGCTGCTGCCACGGTAGACAGCAGGCTGCTTCTGCTGGCTGGAGATGCTGTGGAGATGGTGTCGGGCCAGGGCAAACATGTGGAT